GAGAAGTGGAGGGAGGGTTAAGCTGGTGGTTAAGGGAGCATGCCTATGCAAGATTAGAAGGAAAAGGGTCCTACAATTGCAGCATGCCCCAGATAGCCTATTTAGAGATGCCAGGAACTTTTCTGTATAAACTTGCATAGGATTATGCCTTAAGCATACCGGAGCAGGAGGAAATTAGTGGTTCTTGCCTGGCTCAATGACTATTCTGAGGACTTCCAAATCTATCTTTATATTATTTGTAACAAGTCTCCTTAAAATGCAACATTGTCCTAACATGCATATGACTGTATTGTGTAGCACTCATAGGACAAGACAATGGCATACCTGATGGGCTAATATATAGATATTATGTCCAACATCTTTTGGAGAAATACTGTCATCTCCGCTCTCCTCATGATCACTCTCAAGCCCCTGGTTGTATGCATTTTTCATCACATCCACCTTTAAAATAATTGATGCAACACATATTCATGTTATATTCAAATTAACTCTATAAGGTGAAACAGTGCATAGCAAATCTCGAGAGTCCACTTAAGAAGGAACATGCCACTACTTAAATCTTCCAAATGAAAGGAAAGTATCTAAAAATCGCAGTGTCCAGTTTTTGTTTTAATTGAGTCCTCTTGAATGCAGAGAAATTTTGGAGAGAAAATAAATTATTCTACGCAAAAGTAAAAGGATAGCCTATAAAAAGAAAGGGGAAAACCTAACAAAGAAGTAGACAGTAAAATCCCTCATTTCCAAGTTGCTGATCAATAGGTGTTTCCAACTGCTTCCTTCCAGGTATATAAATAATTTGTAAAGGTCAGGTAATCCTTCTTTCCTCAGGCAACCTCACCTATATACGGAACTTGTTTTTTCTTCAAAAAGAAATCAGATAATGTTTTTTAGAAGTTGATGGTGCAAACCAAAGTATTACAGGAAAAGACGGGACCAAAGAAAGCATTTTTACCAGATTATGCTTTTGTGGCAAACTCTGAAGCTACATGTGTAACTGTGAATGGTAGTTGTTCCATGTTTTAAATTCTAGGTCAACAACCAATTTTTAATCGGGAGACAATATCTGAAATGTCATATGGGCTGAAAAGTTACCCTCTGGCTGACTTTTTCCATGACTTAGCTTCAGCAACAGCATGCTCATGGAGACTGGAGGCTGCTTCGTGGGGGCCATTTTGCTCTCACACAAGCAGCCACAGCCTTTCCTTATCCATGTGCATGCCTGAGACAGTGTGTGAAAACAGCACGAGGTCATGGCTGTTCACAGCTGCTGGAGAGTGACCCTAAAGGGTGGCCTTCAAACATGGCCCCAGCCAAATGGAAAGTGATTTCTTGCAAATGACTTCCGCATAGGTTGGGCTACATCTAAATAACACAGTGACCCAACTGCCCACACAGTTGCACGATTGCAACAGTATCCCAGCCATGTAGAATCTACTCATATAATAGCTGTTCCCACACATCTACAGCCCATTTTAAAGACTGCAGACACTTGGAGGGTGGGAATGGTGTGGTATAGTAGTAGTTTTTTTAAATAAAAAAAGAGCTAGGGTCCAGGAAGACTCTGGTTGAACCTCAGTTCTTGCATGAGCTCACCAGATGGCCTTAGGCAAGCTACTGTCTGCTAGTGGCAACCTCCACTCCCAATGCTACAATTTAAGAATAGTTACTGGCACAGCTTACTACAGCTTTCCCCAGCTTTCCCTTCACCTATTTGGACTACAACCCCCAGTATTTCGCATGATGCAGTCTGGGGATGACGGGAGCTAAGGCTGGAAACATCTAGAGGGTACTACTTTGGACTATCAACATTACAAGAAAAAGATGTTTATGAACAGCTTTGAACACTCTAAAGTGCTATAAATGCTGAGTGTTATTGGTTGTAGAGGTAAATCTGTACAAATTTTTGTAAATCTCTTCCAAATTTTCCCTTTTTAACTGTAAGTTTATCAAGGACTCTCTATACCAAATGATTGTTACTTACCCCAAGTCCCTGGGGTAGAACAAGCTCTGTTTTCAAAAAACAACCATAGCAAAAATGCTTAATTGCATTTAAGCCCATTTATTTTGTTTCATAATACACATTTTTATGGTTAGAGTTCTATCTCAAGTCAAACAGCTTAGGTTGCCCAATTCACAATGTTTCCCTAGATGACTTACTGGAGTGTGATAATTTAGTTAAAAAAACAATTGCAGAAAATAATGCTTGCAACAAATAAAAATCATGAAGTCATAGACAGATATCATGTATGCCTCACCTGTTTAAAGAACCATTGGGATGGGAAGGGATTGCTTCCATCTTGAGGCATCAACTAGTCATTGTTCAGCTGATCAAACCATTCAGCTATATCAAATAATTTGTTACTTTTTATGATGGTAGCACTTGCAATTAGAGGGATTCAGAACATGCAGAAATTTACTTACAAGCTCCCTTGGTCTCATGTTAAAAAGGATCCTTTCAGCATTCTCACTGTCATGCCTACTTTCCATAATAGCAAGCAAAAGCTTTGAGGCATTATTCTGAAGAACAAAACCAAATTGATGCATGGTTAAAATCTATTTCATGAATTAATGAGCCTTGTGTTTGCCTTAATTGAGATTACTAGGATTGCTAGTATTAGATAAATATTTTAAACTTCTTGCATCCTTTTGGTTGTTTATTTTGTTATACAGCAGATATGTCATCAGTGTAATGCACAGCTAACTAATTGAAGGTTCAGATTTGCCGTCCCAGTCTGCCACCCCACCTACCCAGCAATATCGAACAATGCAATGTTGACATAAAGATGCTTAAATATATTAGGCCTAAATAAGTAATTCATATAATATCCATATAAATATATTATGCTATGCTATGCTATGCTATATCATGAAATAACTGCCACAGACACAGCCACTCTCTCACACCTTATATTTACCTTGCTTACATAGGGTGTGTAAGAAACATCATGTAAAGTATATGGGGAGAATTAAGTTTAATTTTGAAAAATATTCAGTGTAAGTACTACACTTTTGTATGCAAGTCTTTATATCCCATTCCAAATCCAGAGGGAGATTCCTTAGGAATAGAACAATGTTTATAAATGCATAACAATTTCGAGCAAGCATACATTTTAGAAAAATGCATTTTGCAAGAGACTTTGTCAATGATTAATTCTTTTCTGTTCTATTAGGATTCTTATTGAGTGTCATGCTGATCAGATGAGAAGAATCAAAAGACTTGCAACCAGACTAGAAGCATGTCCCAAGGGAATTCACACATCATCATGGCCTTGTTATGATGCAGTGCTACCAATCTCCTAATTATTGTTAGAATGTCAGCCACATGCCACTACTTACAATAGTGATGTGGAATTATGCCCCTCCAGATGTTGTTGGGGCTGGAACTCCCATTGTTCCTTACCACTGGCTGCACTGATGGGAGTGGGAATACAACAACAGCTGGAGGGCCACATGTTCCTCCCCCCAGCTTGCACAATGCCTCCCCTTCTTCTTGTCCTCTCATATGCATTTTTCCTCCCTTCATGTTGGTTTGATCCATGGTACAGCCTGTACACACACAGGGATGTTCACAATCACTGTAGAAAAGGAATTTGAAATCTGTTTGACGTACCTTTGCAAACAGTATTACCACTCGAAGAACGACAGTTACAGGTAAGCAACCTGCCTTTCTTCATCATGGTCTCCGTGCATCACACATTATAGGTGATTAACAAGCTTACCACACCTGGAGGCAGAATGGTGTCATCACTGAAGAACTGTGGAGAGGATGGCACGACTGAAGGAGCAGTCCTCTTCTCGCCTTGACATCCAAGCGGTAGTGCTTTGTGAAAGTGCATAGAGTAGATCATGCGGCTACCTTGCAAGGGGATGCCTGCACGGAGGTCAGAAGAAGCAACAACAGCTCTTGTGGGGTGTCCTTTCAGGGTAATGGGTAAGTCCAGTTGTGAAAGGTGATAAGCCAGTTCAATCGTCTCAACGATCCATTTCGAAAGTCTTTGAGTAGTGATAGGAGCTCCCTTGTTGTGTTCTGAGTATTTGACAAAAAGTCGTTTAGTTTTCCTGAATGACTCAGTTTGGGATCGATAAAAGGCTAAACAGCGCTGGACATCCAGGCTATGTAGGGAGTGCTCAATCTGTGTTGACAGAGTAGGGAAATAAGCCAGTAGCACAATGTCCTGGTTAAGGTGAAAAGGAGTCGCAACCTTGGGCAGGAAGGTTGGATTGGTGTGTGGAATCACTTTCTCCTTGTGGAAGTTTAGGTATGGTGGGTCAACACAAAGGGCACACAGTTCACTGGCTCTTCTGTCCAAAGTAATTGCTACTAGAAAAGCTGTTTTCCAAGTAAGGAGGCATAGATCCATTGTGGCTAGTGGTTCAAATGGAGGCTTTGTATGAGTTTGCAGGACAACAGAGAGGTTCCACGTCGGAACTACCAATCGAGTCAGTGGTTGAAGCTTTTGTAGTCCTCGCAGGAATTGACCCACAAGGTAATGGAAGAAAACAGACAAACCTCCAATGCATCCTCGATAATGGAGGAAGGTTTAAGACCCCCATGGTGTAATGAGAGTAGAAATTGTAGGATATTCTCGATGGTAGCAGATTGAGGTAGAAATTGATTAGCAGCAGTAAAGGAGGTGAAGTGCTTCCATTTGGCACTATAGGAGCATCATGTGGTCAGTTGTAGTGCAGATTGAAGAATAAACTGTATATCAGGATGAAAGCTTGTCAGGTCCGAAGAAGACGTCGGTACTGATGTTGATACCGAAGGCAGTATTGGATTGGAAAGCTCTGATGCTATAGATACAGGTATAGAAGAAGCAGGCATCAATCCTGAAGGTACATGTATTGAAACTGAAGAAAGTGTCAGTATTGATGTAGAAGAAAGAGTTTATGAATGAGACAGGCAGTGAGATTCAGAGAATGTAGGTCGGGATGTTGTATGGCACCGTGTTCTTGAGAGATTAGATGAGGAACTCAAGGTAGTTGAAGAAATTTATTTTGTGAAAACTGGAGAAGAGTGGGGAACCACGACTGACAGGGCCACCAAGGGGTGATGAGAATTCCATGTCATCTTGCCAGATTTTGGCAATCGTCCTTGTTATTAGCGGTATCAGTGGGAATGCATAGAAGAATTTGTTCTTCCACAAAACCATGAGTCCATCCCCAGTTGAATTCAGGCTGATGCCCGCTCAGGAGCAGTATGACCTGCAGACAGAGTTGTCATGGGTCACAAACAAGTCTATGTCTGGTGTTCCCCAAAGCTGAAACAGGTGTAAGCAGACTTGTCGATCTAGCTCCCACTTGTGTGTCGTCGACATGTGTCTGCTGAAGGAGTCGGCTTCCTCGTTGTCGGTGCCTGTGAGATGGACAGCTAGAGCAGTAATCCTGTGGGTCAGTTCCACATGCGAAGGGTGAGATGTGCCAACGGTACTGACTTTGTACCACCCTGTAGTTTACATAGAACACGGTCACAATGTTGTCTGACGCAATCTGGACTGTGTGGTCTTGGAGGAAGGTTTGAAAGGAACATAACGCTCTGAAGACCGCCAGCAATTCCAGGTAGTTGATATTCCTGGTGGTCTCATGTCCATGCCTTGGGTCCAAAGAGACATGTGATAGGCACCCCATCCAGTCAGTGAAGCATCGGTATAAAGGGTCACTTTTGGTTCAAGTGCACGGAATGGAACTCTGCAGGAAATTGGTATCAACAGTACACCAGGACAAGGTCTGGAGGACCAAGTGCAGAGGTTGTAGTAGTCAGTTGGGTTGATTGCGGTCCGGGTGGAAATTGCGATTGAACCAGAGCTGCAAAGGTCTCATTCGCAATCTCACATTTGACACCACCGAAATCGTTGACACCATATGACCAAGCATCTGTTGAATCGAATGTGCAGAAACAGTCTGCTGGGCATTGATCTGGCAAATAGAGGTGATCAGTCTTTCTTGTCGGTCCCGAGAAAGGAAGGCTCATTTGTGCAGAGAGTCCAGGCATGCTCTGATGAAGCTGATGACCTGGAAGAGAAAGAGGCATGATTTCTCAGTGTTAATACCCAGTTCCAGTTGGTCAAGCAAAGAACAGGTGACATCAATCGAGGTCAAAAGGTCATCCCTCGATGAGGAGATGATGAGCCAATCATCAAGGCAAGGGTAGGCGTAGACAACCTGCAGTCTAAGATGGGCACAAACTGGAGCCATGCACTTGGTAAAGACTCTTGAAGCGGTGGCGAGCTTAAAGGGAAGAACGTTATATTCGGAGGCATCGGTACCAACAGTGCACCAAAGGAGGCACTTGTGAGCAGGATGGATGCTGATGTGAAAGTAAGCATCTTTCAAGTCCAGCGATGCGAACCAATCCTCTTTCCTGAGCAATGGAAGTATATTCTGGAGAGTGGTCATTCTGAATTTATTTTATTTTAATTTATTTATTGAGTCCATAGAAGTCCAGAATGAGGCATAGATCACCATCTCGTTTCAGTAGCATAAAGTACCTGGAGTAGAAACCGTGCAGTCCTTTGGAGCGATGAAGTTTATAAATCGGGATCAGAAGGCGGCACAGTCTCCAATTCAATTTATATCCATGCTCTACTATGGAAATAACCCACCTGTCAGATGTGATGGACTCCCAGATGGGAAGTTGGCTTTGCAGCCAGTCCTCAAAAGGGAGAGGGGAAGGTAGGTTGATGGATTGAGGAGAGGTTCATGTGTCTCATCAGCACCGTCATTTGTCTGCCTCTGGTTGGCGCCTAGGTTGCTGGTATCGTGGTGCATTTTGCCCTCGGTTCCTCTGCTGACTTTGACTATACTGCAGGCATCCCATGGGGTATGGCTGGTGGTAGGGCTCGTACCGGTACTGGGTTCCGGTCCATGGCCACTTACGTCTCTGCTGCAAGGGAGCTTCCATGTGTCATGTGGTCAGGCAAGCTTTTTGAATATTTTCAAGTTGTCTTCACATGGAAAAGTCCAGAGCCGTCACATGGCATATTCTCAATGCATTGTTTAGTTTCTTGAGGCAGGTTTCCAGATCACAGCCAGGTATGACGCTGAAGGGCTACAGCACCAACGAGAGCCCTGGAGTCACAATTGACATGATGCCTCACCGTGTTTAGTTGTTGTCTGGATAGCTACATTGCCTCACCAATAAACAGGCAGGCCAGCTCCCTTTGCTGGTCTGGGAGGTATGCAGTGAGGGACTCGATCTTTTGCCAAGGGAAGAATTGGTAATGGGCTATGGTGGCCTCATAGTTGCATAGACCGAGTCCCATTGCGGCGTAGATTCAGGGAGACATCATGTTGATTTTTCTGTCTTCCTTGAATGTTCTCTGGTTTGCTGGCCTTGCGACAGCTCAATGACTATTGAGTTTGACTGTGGGTGTTTAAGCAGGAACGGAATGTCCTGCTCCTGAACTTTATACATCGCCTCTAACCGTCTAGAGGTGGGATGTGGATGATTTGGGAGCTGCCAGGTATCAGTCACTGCCTGTTGGAGAGTGGTGATGAATGGCAGGGCGATGGATGAAGGGTCATCTTTATGTACGATGTCACAGATATTATCTAGATTGGCATCGAAATGGTGTTATATATCTATCTCCAGTGACTTTGTCATCCTCAACAGTAGCTCAGAAAAACTACCCTGGGGGTCACCCAGAGATCCTGGACCTTGAGTGGAGATTACAGCATTGGGAGAGGTAGAGGCTTGTTGGGAGCCCTCCAAGTCAGAATCGGACTGGTATGGTGGGCTAGATGAGGACCCATCAGGAGATGGTGGTGGATGGGTGAGAGCTGCAGCAGAAGTTGACAGAGCGTCTCTTGATACCGAATGAGGAGTGGAATGGTGGGGACACATTGGTGGTTGTGGGTAGTATCCATATGGGGGGGTAGAAATCCCACAGATAAGGCCGATCAGGATCGAATTCCCCATATGTTAGGGGGACCCAGTACCTCGACAGTGTGGTGCGAGAGCCTGCGGTGGTAAGAGGGAGCATGGGCGTTGAGGTGCCCTTGGAGTTGGCGATCTCACAGGTGGCTGGTCTGGTCGTGAATGAGGAGATTCTCGGATCTTCCCATCAGACATGGGCCCTCTGGCCAACGGATCAGAATGCTCAGGACTGGAAGGTGCCAAGATGGTAATCCATGGGGTTACGCTGGTTGAGTCACTTACATGACAGAATGGCGGACTGGAGGTCTGGCTGGAGTCGGGATCGAAGCAGCAGTCGGGTCCGAGCAGGGCACTTTGTCATGTTTTTTGTGCCTGCGCTTGGCTTTGTCAGACTTGTCCTTCTTAAGACACTATGATTTTGACATTCCTCAGACCTGACATGCTTCCTCTTCTCCTTCAGTTTACGGGGAGGAGAATGCAAGGAGCGCTTTCCATCCTTGCCAATCAGGTCCCCTTCAGGTGGGCGAGAAGGAGCAGCTTTTGATGGGCCTGAAGCTGCTGAAGTGCTGGCCTCAGCTGAGACCTGCTTCATCACAACCAGTACTTGGTCCCACAGCATTTTGCACAGCCTATTGTCATGATTTTTGCAAGCCTGCCAGTTGAACGACTGGCAATGTCGGTTCTGTGTCCTTCTCCAAGACAGAGAAGACACAGATCATGAGGATCAGTGGGAGAACACTTACGGAAGGCCGCCCGCTGTGCCATTGAGAAGAGAAGAGAGAAAGAGCAAACTGAGATAGTTTTATGGGAAAGAACTACAATAGAGGGATTTTATTGTATTTTATTTTGGAAAGGGGAAGGGAAGGGGGTGAAATAAGGGTAGAGGTTTGGTAAGAGACAAACTGGGTTTGGGAGTGTAAAGTTGTAAAGTAAAGATTAAGATAAAAGAGACAAGTTCAAGATTTATACATTTCGTGGAGAAGTATGAGTAGACAAGTGAAGAGAAAAGGCTTGAGGCACGGCAAATGGCGGTCGCAAGCAGAATGGGGAAAGGGCAGGCACTCCAAACATTTATACTACGGGGGGAAGGGTGTGGAGCTCCCGCCGAAAACCATTAATGCTAGTAAATCTTCCCAGCAACAGGCACTGTGCAGGTACAGCACCCATAATGTGTCATGCAGAGACCATGATGCAGGAAAATATACTTTCGCACAGAATCCAAATTAATTTTAAATAAAGGAAATATTAATTTCTTGGAGAGATTTGTACAATTTTTCTGTTTTAATACCCAATTGCTTTTTGCTTGAATGCCCTCACATACTTTTTTTCTATTTTGAGCAGAATATAGTTTGATAACAAAGTTTTTCAGTCAAACTCTGGAATCTTAGAATGGATCAAACTGACAATCCATACAATTAAACATGAATATTTAATTGATAAGACTGTACTAATTTGTGAGCTTTACCTTTTGTTTTCCATAAAAGCAACGTAGAGCAACACAGTGGTTGAGAAAGATAGGTTGTGTAGATACAACAGACTGAAGAATTAGTTGGGAGTGCTTCTAAAAATCAATGGCCAATGCATAATAGCTCTTAAATAGGCAAGCTTAGATGGAGAAATCAAAGCAAGCTGTGATGCCTGTAGTGGAAATCATTCCTATGCAAGACAACTTCATCAAAGGAAATACAGGGAACACATATATCTAAGACAGGAGCAGCCAGAAGTTTTGTTCTGCAGCACTCATCAGCCCTACCCAGCACAGCCATTAGTGAAGGATGGTGGGAACTGTAGGCCAATACATCTGGTTATAGTTTGAAAAATAGCTTATATATATTATGAAGTGAATGTGCTGTGGAAAAGAATATGCAAAACATATACTTCTGTATACCAAAGGGATAATTTGTTTATTCAACACATTTTATAAAGCATAAGTAGCTAATATAACCATGCTACTTTCATATATATTGATCATAGGAATAATTAATTAATTTTAATGTGTATGTATGTGTGTTATTAGAATTTATACTCTTAACTTCAGGATGCCTTACATAACATATTTAACACATGTTAAAATAAAAAGCTAAAAGCAGCAGCTCAATAAAGCAGAAGGACTAAGAACAAAACAAAACATGGGGCAGTTAAATATGTTCAGCTAGAGTTAAAGCCTAAGAAAATTAGGAAGTATTTGCCTGGCATTAGAATGATATTGGGGAAAGCTTCAGTTAAACTTGTCTAGGGAGAATGTTCCAAACTTGAGGCATCACCACTGAAAGGGCTCTTGCTCTGGTGATTTTCGGCTATAACCATCTTGAAAAAGAGCAGCAGGCTCAAAACATATTGGATAAACAAAAAATGAGAAAAAAATAATTGGTTTTCTGTGATGACCTTCTTGCCTCCTGTTGTTTCAGTCATGTTCCACAGCCCTGAAATGGGGCCTAGAGGATGTCCAGGAAGCCTTAAATAGGCCTTTTATCCAGAAGGCAATTACTTTGACTGATTCATCACATTTCAGGCACATTTCCAAGTTGCCTAGATCCTTAAAGCCATGTGCAAATACATTTTTTTTAAAAAGTTAAAAGCATTAAAATACCACAACAAAATCAAAGAGAGCTACACACACACTTCATATACAGCAGCAGAATGAAACTGCACTAGAAAGCCATTTAAAACCCATTTTACCAGAGCAGTCAAAAGCTTTGGGGAATAAAATTTCTCTGAGCATACAGATGCATATATGAAGAGGGGGCCAAACTGTGCTTCCTTGTTAAAGAATACCAAAGGGAGGAGAGCCATAGTTGAAAAATCCCTCCTTTGTCCAATGCTGAATTCACCACCATTAATTATAGCATGTGTAGCCATGGAGCCAACTGGGTAACTTTGGGCCAGTCACAGGCTCTCAGTCCAACCTCTCTCAGGGGGTGGTTGTTGTAAGGATAAGACTGAGAGGAGGAGGAGAATTGTGTAAGCTGCCTTGAGTTGCTTGAAAGGAACTAAGGCAGGAATAAATTTAGTAAATAAAATACATTAGGACTAGCTCCTGAAAGTTGGGCAATCACTTGTATGGACTTCAAATTACAAATATATTCAAACTACTTAAGATTTTTCTACATTCAAAATGTTTATGGGTTATGTGAAACTGCTAAATCTGTGTTATACATAGGGGCTTGGTCACACATGCATGTCCATCACCTGATTTTTCATCACCCAATAAATTCCAGATGAATTTGTTCAGCTAAAAAACACTGGCATCTCTATATTAAAGATATATCTCTGGTATTTAGTCTGGGCTGGCTCATTACCATGTACAAATTAACACTTGATGTCCCACTCATTGAGTAATGAATGTTATCCATCATGTTGGAGCCAGGCAGTCAGTACCAGCAATGGTTCTTGCTTTTATTGAATTATTTCTAATTATTATGCGCCACAGCAATTATGGCATTTTGGCAAATCACAGGGCATACAAATGTTAATATAAATGAAGTAGGACTCCTGATATGTCACTACTGGGAATATGGGGAAGTCTTCTACCAATATTCAGGCACAACTTGTGTGTTTTTCACCCAAGCAACCCGTTATGACCTACTGTACAAGCCCAGAAGCATATTGAACTGGACCACAGGGAACCTAAAGACATAAACCAATGCATATTTATGCCTTTTGGTACTTTGTCATACAACTCCTGTGCTGGCTGGGGAAGAGCCTGTGATTAAATGCCATACCTTCAGTTGAAGCACGAGGTCCATACGGTATTTTCCAAGAGGATTGATATCATTTAGGATCAGAGCAATGATAATGTCTATGCCATTGGACTCATGTGTAGCTATGCAGGACTGGAAAATACAAAGAATGAAAAATATCAATACTGTGCACAAACAGTGCAGATACTTAGATATAAGAAGGCTCTCTTTAAACTACGGTCTTTTGGGAATTGAGATGGTACTGTTAAGTTTTTGTTAAGTGCTGCAAGCACCTAAGTCTGAAAATGATTGGTCAATTCATTTTTCCATTTATATTGAAGTTGATACAAACAGATATTTTCAATCGATTAGCAAATGTTAAAATGATCTTGCAATGTCATGCTTGTTAGGGAGGCACTATATTTGCATTTAATCTACTTCTGAAATGTTTTTCAGTGTTACAGTCTGAACATACAAATCCCCAAGCCCACCTAAAAAGACTACTTGTAGGAGTTTTAACCACAGATTTTATTTGGATTAGCCTGAGGTTACACTATCGGATCCATAGCTGGTCCAGCACATTACATCTAAGGACTTGATCTACAACTCTGCAGTGCTGAGCAACACGGAAGATGCTGCACTGATACCACTGCCCCCTTCCAGATTGTTGAAATAGTATTTAGGTTGTGAATACTCTAGAGTGCTATAGAAACACTCTATACATTCTATTCATCATGTATAGAAACATTATCATGAATATCAATATATACATGAAAGTACTGGAAGTTTTAAATTCTTTCTGTGATATGGACTCTGTCTAGCTTTCATTTTGTATGTGATTTAATGGTACTTTGTTACCAAAGAATGTTTAGCAGTGTGAACCTTGTTGTGCTATATTACATGCTGTGTTTCAAGTTCAGAGAGTAATTCCATATGATTTCTTTTGGGATTTACATAAAAACTAGCATATTTGTAAAATCATAACATATTTCTGCACTGCCCAAACATACAAATCTAAACCTTCAAAAACTTGAGAATTCTCAGAACTAAAACCTGCTAAAATCTTTACCACATAACCAAGACATCTGTTACAAGACTTTTAAAGAGGAAGAGACATCTGTCCATTGGTACTGGTTTCATTACGAGAAGGAGGTGATGTCTCATGGTTTGCGGGAGAAGGTTGTGCTTCCACAAAGTCTGCCTATATATCTGGCTGCCACCATCTCTGTATGTATGTTATCAAGCATGCACTTACATTAAAATACCTTCCATCAGTTAAAAAAGCACAGAAACATTGCTATTGATGCCAACATGTTTGTTTGTGGGCATGGCCACTGAAATATATACACATGTCCATGTCTGTACTTTGGAACAGGAGCAAAGATGTGATTAGGGATGTGCAAATGAATATGCAGAATCTTGGCATGAGAGGCTCTCCTATTCCCCATTCCCAGATTCCTAGGACTGCCAAGTAGCCATCTGGAAAAACCGACTTGACCTTTGACAATGCCTTGAAGACTGTGCAGCTGCTCGACCTCCCACATGTTCTTCCCTGCTCTATCAGCTCTCTTTCCTCTGCTTTCTCTATCTATTGACCAATTCTATGTAGCCACACCATGGACCAGAGGGAAAACTCCTTCCCACCCACTTTCAGGGCCCCTCCACTGTACTCTTAACTGGGCAGGGGAGGGAGTAGGAACCAGTGGGAAACCACCAGTGCCATCTGTGCTGTGGTTCAGACTGGAAAGGGGTATGCTCAAGCTTACCTGCTTTGTCTGCTTCCCTCTTCTTCCAGTACATTTTAAAAAATACAATACAGACATATCACAACAAAATAACCCCAAAACATTACTTAAAACGTTAACCTTACAATATCCGAATCTGTTCAAGGCTTGGCAAACCAGTACCATTTTATAGCATGTCTAAGGGTACCATGCTATGCAGGATTAGACAGAAAAACTTCCTACAACTCTCAGCATTCCCCAGCTGGGGGATGCTGTGAGATGCAAGCCTGTATTTTGCTTAAACATACATAGGGCTGCATGCTAAATGTCCAAAACCAAGATGGGATAGACTCAACCTGCTCTCCTCCAAGAGCAAGTTCAACAGTCAGGCTGTTGCTACAAAAAAGGTCCTGTCTCATAAAACTACCAAATTAGTCCTTTTTGATGGGGGACACACAACTGGACCTCTGATGAAGATTATAGTTTATGCGAAAGCAATTAGGACAATTGCAGACACAGAAAGATAAACAGGGAATGCCCAACAGTGGCACAATCTCCTCCTACATCTTTGGAATGATGGCAAGGGTGGGTTTCTGGGCTGAAATCTAGCAATGCTACAAACAGCTGAATATCTGAAGAAAAAAAACAGAGACTTGAACTTTATGCAATTAGCAATATTAGCAATGTTCATTGATAACAAATAATAGAAAACCTGGTTTAATTTAGAGAAATTCTGGCTTCTTATAGACCTGGACTTTCAATACCATTTTCAACCATACAGAAAAATGAAGCGCAAAGAATTTTACAATACTATTGATTAGGTCACTATCATTGTTTCTGCATTCAGTTCTGGTTTTACACATCCAGTTAATATTCTTCAGTGAAGGTTTAAGGTACCTGATTTTCATGGCATGGGCCTTGGCAATATTCAGTCAAGCTTTCAAGTGTTTGGTTCACCAGAGCTACATTCTTCTCATTGATGTACAAGCCCAAAAGTCCTAGCCCACCTGTAGTACTTCCGCAAATACAATCCAAAAACTGCAGTGTCTCACATACTAGGTTGTAGTTGGTCTTGTTGTTTTGATTTCTTAAGAAGTTCTGGGGGAAAAGATAGGGAAGTGATAAGTAAACATGCATATCATTAGACCAGGGATGGGTAGAAAGTAGATATCCAGATGTCTTGGACATCAGCTTCAAGCATTCCCAAATACTGGCCATGCTTGTAGAGGAGCTGGAAGTTGACATCCAAAACAGTTGGAGTCCTCCCTTCCCACTGCTCCTGTTAGTTCTATCTGTTCAATTAAGATATCATTCCAAACCAGGGTTCACTGAAGCTTAACTATTAACTATTTCATGTCTGAACTGCTTTAGTATGTACTAACTCTAACTTGGCTTGATGTCTGCATTGACAAACTATAGTTATGTCATTGCACCACCTCTAGAGAGCACTGAACAAGAGAGGCAAGAGGGAACTTATGAATTGATGCTACTTGCTGAGCACACGGAAACCAAAAGCAGGTTAAGCAGCTCTCAAACTGTGGTTTGTTGTACCACCAGAAGAGGGGTTCATGTGGTGTATTTGCCATGGGGAAATCATGGGTTTACATGTCTGAAGTGAGCCACTATTCAAACACTGAAATACTAAAACCAGGAATAAAAATAAACCATGCCTGCATAACCATAATAATTTCTAGGGCAGAAAACACAAATATCAAAATCATTTAAATAAAGTAGCTACATTTATGGAGAGACAGCCCTGACTGTTTTAAAGTTAAGTTGTTCTAAAGCCATCTCCCATGTTAATATAATGCATCACCTGTATGTTCACATCTAAAGACTTATATATGAAAAAAAGCTTTCTTTGCATCACTTTTAAAAATACCAATTGACTGAAATGTATATGCTCAACAAAGCCAGCACATTGCTACAGTCACTTTCAAGCTGATTGAAAGGTTCAATCAAGTTTATCTGGACTCTAATGCGACCTACAGCTGAGCAAAGGAGCTTTATCTATATGATGCTGATTTGCAGCCATAATAAGGAAGAAGGTTTCTCATTTGGTCTGGGACTGACTCAGCATAAGATAGCTTTACACGTTCATACATATGTTATTGCTGGATACTGAAATCCATTCACATGGTTTATCCCAAATTATTTTGGAATTTCAGTTTCCGTGAGATCAAGGAAAGAAGATCTGGGCTGTAAAAACACATAAAAGCTTGCTTTCCTCTACAAATCTTTGTCTGTAGTCTGGGACCCTACTCATCCAGAAAGGGTCCCACCCCACATGCTTGGCTTACTTTTATATGGCTGCTTCTTGGGGGAGGCTGGGACTCCTATGTCAGTGAAACTGGCCCATTGCAGAATATATGCTGAGCTTTACTGGAGTGATTCCTGGTGTTGCATTCTGTCCCCAAACTAGATCCAACCTCTTGGAGCACCACAGATTGTTCCTATAAAGCTGAGAATAAAAACTGCAAAGGATAAGGAGCCTCACTGGCACAGAAGTCAGCAGCCTCCCCTGTCGTGGTTAAAGCTAACAAACAGCCCATTCAGCTGCATACCTGGAGTTCCCGATTGTGATTTTCGCATAACAATTGAAGAAACCGCAGTATTGGTTGCATGATTACAATGGCAGGGCTCATAGTAATTTCTTCTGAGGATTTCTCATCTGCATTTCCTGCATCTGTTCCTGTACTCATGACATCGATTTCTGGATCCATTTCTCTGCGGTACACACAATAAGCTCTGGATGTTGCTGTAGAGGCTTCTGTTAATTGCCCTTTCATACCTTCTTTCAGATGCAGATTGGATTCTCTTACTACAGGGGAAATAATACATGCAAAATTAGAATAAAATATAGAATTTTGGAGGTGGGGGATTGATACAACAAAATATTTTCCAAACTAGGGGAGCTACCAATGAGTTGTGAGGTCAGGACCAACTCTAAAAGACTTTGATCAATAAATACATCTTGGCCCTAAACTGTTGGATGCTGTAAAGACTTTCTGGACCTTAAGTAACTACAGATTGTGTGAGCTCCGTATAAATATAGAGTGGTATCCAATGCTTTCACAGCATTAGAGGAAACCAATACCCATGCAACATCATTAGCACTTGTTAGGCAGAGAGAAAAGGTAGAAGTTTGCTGCTGAATTTCAGCAGCAATCTGCACTGCCAAACTTTGGTGGGAAGCTGCCACTTTTTTCCTTTCCCTATTACATGCAAACAGTATTTAGCTAGCACTGGTTTCTCCTAGCACTCTTATAGCACTGGATACTGCTAATTGCCTTTGGTTAGTTAGAATCTAAAGTCAGCCCTCAGAGATGTCTATGGTGCTTGTGGCTTCCTTGTGTATAATTAAGAAACCAAAACCTGTCTTGTAGCATCATAAAGACTAGAATGTACTACGGCAAAAGCTTTTGTGAACCATGCCTTTGTCTCTGGTCCATGAAAGCTTATACCATAATAAATGTATTAGTCTTTAAGATGCTATAAAGTCAAGTCTGTATTTGTGCATCTCTTTAAAGCCAGAAATTCTGACTTATTAAACTGCAAGTGAAAGAGCTGCATGCATGCTTCTGCATGTAGCCCTTTCAATCCTGCTGTTTTCCTGCATGCAGATGTGGGTGAACACAGCAGCATGGATAACTTAGCATGAAGTGTGAATCCAGGATTATGATTTATTGTGTTCATGAAGCTAGGATTGTAAGCCTATCTCAATGGGAACCTGTTCTGTTATTAAGGTCAGCAGAAGAGCTCTTTTGAAGGTACCCTTGCTTTCAGAGGCAATGATGTTGGGCATGCAAGAAAAGTATTTCTCCTGTGTTGCTCCTAAGCTCTTGAACACACTCTCACTGGACTTGGCTTTTACATTTCTTGTTATGGTTTTACATTTATTTTAAAAGCTCCATGATGTTCCTATCTGATTCTGTTTTTACTGGACTTATTGTAAACTGCTTTTACTTCTGTAATGTGGTCTAGAAATTAAAATAAATAAATAAATAAATAAAGTCAACTTGAAAATCTGTCTCAAAATAGTTTACTACTCTGCCTTTGTGTAAGCACAGTGAACTATAATCCTGGGTTCAGATGTCACAGTAAGGTATACATCATGATTTCATTTATTAATTCATGCAAAATGCAAAGTGGGGATGGAGAGTGCACATTGTGTTTTAATAAGCAATTATTCCTGGCTTGAACCGATATGCAAAGACATGCTTTTGCTATAAAAACTAACTTGCTTTACCCTCTAGAAAAATATACATTTTTTAAAAAGTCATAGACCAACAACCTATGAAATAAAACCCTTACAGGTCATGGTGGCTAACATGAATTTGGTTCAAGCTTATGGCATCATACATTGTACAGGATGGATCAAAAGTAGGTATACAGCACTGATTGGGTCATGTTTAGTCTCCATTAATGTTGCAGCATTCCTGGAACCTGGTCCCAATGCTGTGACACAAATTCCAGTTACCACCAATGTTGTGAAATGCTTGAGAGATGAACTCCTTCAGTTTGTTCACTGTGTAAGGTCCTCCATGACCCAATCAGTACTGTATACCTACTTTTAGCCCACCCTGTATAAAGACTATAGAAATGTGCACTCAAACTTAAGCAAGACACACAAAGAATTCAGTCATGACAGTCATGATGGCAACAAATACATGCACATGTGCACACAAGCATGCATGCACATGCAAACACACAAACAGGATATTTGCTTCACAGTATGGAAACTCCTCAGCTTTTGGGCCTGATCAAGGCAAAGCACTGCAGGTGCGAATTGCAAGAAATTCCCCACACACTGAAACCGAGATGCTAAGAAGGGTTGAAATCTAGACTTCTCCCCAGTGTGCTAGTTTTCCATGGGGGAAAGTATTCAGACATAGAACTCCTCACCTCCAATCAAAAGTGGTGCCAGTATTAAGGCCTGGTCTAGAAAAACACCTCAGGTGATAAAATTGTTCCTGGAGACCAGAGCTCAAATCTTGCTATATTGCCTGTCTGGTGGCAATGTAAGGGATTAGAGTTAAGACAACAGAAAGTAGGGCTTTTGAATAAATTATTTTGTTAATCATAGTTCTAGCTGTGCTTGACAACTTCCCTAAATTACCTTTTGGGGTCAAGACCCAGTTCAAAGTGCTGGCATTGCTTAATAAAGCCTTTAAACTATTTGGAACCAATGTGTCTGAAGCACTGCCTGTCCCCACATGAATAACCGGACTGGGGAATTCCCTCTCTGGGGAGGTTTGCATAGCCTCTTCTCAGGATGGCCATGTGTCCTAATTTACAGAGGACAACTATTCGTAAGTCTCAGAGAACGGTCCTCTATTTTGAAGGGCTGTCACTCCAGGTCTGATCAAGAACCCTGAGATGAGAAAGCAGGGGGACTTGCTTCTGTAAACAATTTGCACCTGGACAGCAAACTGAATTGCACTCTCCCCTACCATGTTAAGATATATTCTATGTCTATTTAAATTAGAGTCATTATTTCTCAATGTGCATCAATACAAATTGTATGTATATCCACATCATCTTTTGTCTTCCTTTTTGGTGACACCTTTCCTCATTTTTCCAGTGTGTAAGTGGCCACCCTATTTCTTCCATTCTTTCGACAGTAGGCAAAAATGATCTTTCTAAGAAATCCTGTTGGGGAGAAAAATTGCTTGTGTTGAATATTATTGTCTACATGCTGTTAGGATTTTTATTTCTTTTGTGCCTCATATTTATTTTTGTTCTTTTATTTCAGAGCTCAAGTTATGTTCTCAAGTGGATAGAAACTGGTGTAGTTTTATTGCACTTTTGCAATGTTTTAAATTGTGGTTGTGTTACCTTTTGGCAGGTCTGCCTGGACACCTGATAAATAAGAAAGAGGCATATAACAACTATATTTATTTTATGTTTTAATGTGTGTGTAGGAAATTTCACTGCCATTCTACCAAATGTAGAAGAGCCTTTTATCCAGTTTTTTTTCCAGGAAAATGTTTTTTGTATTGTTCCAAGTCTGCAGTAAAATCAGTACTGGTGATGAAACACATTCCTGGTTCTCTTTACCTCTTTTTTTGGGAACCGATATGGTCACATCATTGTCATCATCTTTCTTTTTGCTGCTCAGATCAATTGTGTTCACTGTAACTGTTGATCGGATTTCCTGCTGGGCTGTTTTCAGTCTATCATACAGAACTTTAAAAAACTTTTCAGATTTTTTCTGCTCATTCAGTTGCTGATAAAAGGAATACTAAAGTGGAAAAAGCAACAACAATGACATTTAGATATCAGCACTTCAGTAGCAGGGACATATTTGATATGATAACACCTGATGCATAAATACTACATTGCAGCCATGTGATCAGAGATGGAGAGGATGGCTACCTATGCCTTATTCCAGAAATGAAAAGAGCAGTGCCATAGCCCACATGATATTGCATCACATGTCTAAGATTCGCAAACCAAGCTCACCAAGAAGAATGTGCTTCTGGCCTCTGGTGACTACTAGCAAAATGTAAAACAATAAACTAATTATTTCTAATGGCTGCAAACAAAACAAATATTGTAAATGCCACACAGAATTTAAGAAAGACCCTTATACATCAAACCAAGGCCCATCTAGCCCAGCTTTCTATATCCCCCAGTAACTAGTCAGATGTGGGCATGTTCACAAGCCCATTAAGGTGATAGCCTTTCCCTGTTGCTTGCCCCTGGCCACTAGTGTTCAAAAGAATACTACCTCTAAACATGGAGGTTCTTCTTAGATACCATGGCTAATAACTATTGATAGATGTGTCCACCCAGAATTTGTGCATTCCTTACAAAACACCATCTAAATTCACAGACATCACTAGAGTTGTGGTAGTATATTAATTCCACATGGGAATGATGTGCCACATGAAGTCTTTTGTTACTGTTATTTTTGTTTTGGTCACTATAAATCTTATTGCCAATAAACTCCTTTGGATATCCTGAGTTCTAGTACTATAAAAAGGAGGGGGAGGAAAAAACTCAAACTCTCTGTCCACACTTTTCATAATTCTATAGACTAAATAGTGCTAAATGCTTTACCCTTTCTGTATAGCAAAGGTGCTCCCATGTTGTATTCATTTTAGATGTCCTTTTTTGTACATTTCTACTACTATGCTACCTGGATACAGTATTCTAGATCCCTTTTCGTGTTCAGTCCTTTTCCTAACAAGTTCAGCCCTGTGTTTGCCTTTTTCATTGCTTCAACTTGGAAATGTTCCTATACAAAGCTTTTATTCTAAATTTGTCAGTTATCTAAAGAACACAAGGTTCTTTAGATAAGTTGCAGGTTTCCAGCTTCACTTAGGCATCTGATCAGCACATCTGGTGACCTTCTTTACAGTTCTGCCAGTTTTGAGCAGATGCTGCCTATGCTTAACACCACTTTGTTGGTTTTTGGGACCCCACACTACAAACATATGAGCATGTTTTCAAGTTTAAGAAAAACATTTTTTTTAAAAAAAATAAGCTACTAAATTACGGGCAGTTCCAGGGTTACAACTGTAACCCACTTTCCAAGTTACAACGAGCTGCCATAAAACCTATTAATTTAAAAACTCACGTTAAAGGCCTACTGCAGGAAATTGTTATCATCATAGAGAGAGAAGTGGAAGGGGAGAGAAGGAAGGCCTCCAAAACATTACCATAGAGAGAGAGAGAAATTGAAAGGGAAGCGGGTCTTCCTGACTTGCTCATCTGGAGAGGGAAATCTCTCCCGCATTTCCTTGCTGTAAATTAGAGGCGCTGGTGAGTTTGGCAGGGGGTAGAAATATTCATGGTCTTTCCACTTTCATGGGGTCCTGTGCCCCTAATCCCCATGAATGTGGAGGTTCGACTATATGTGATCCGACTTACATACAAATTCAAAGATAAATTTCTGTTTTCTCAGGAATGGAACTCGTTTGTAACCCAGGGACTAACTGTAATGCTTAATCCAACAATCTTAAGCCTGATGGGAGGGGTGAAGAAGGAATCAATAAAGGAAGAATATATGTCAGAGGGGTAAAGGCAAAGGAAAGACAAACACAAGCCAAAAATATTATTCCTTAGGATGTTTCCCTCTTTAAATAGGTTTTCAGTACTAATTGATATATAAAAATAAAAAACAACACCAAGTTTGTACCTGAATTTGTGTGTTTCCACCTTCAAGCAATGCAATACCGAGCAAAATGGCTTCAGAGAAGATCCTGTCATTTTTGGTGCTAACTATGACATCTATGACAAGTTCTGATGCTCCTTCTTTATCCAGAAGGCACTGAATATCATGCATTGACACACCAGACTTATCTGAATCTTGTCCCGAAAATCCACCTAGAAAACAAAAACCAAAAGAGCCAATATTCAGATATGTTTAAAAATATATGCTTAATTCTGAGATAAAATCAACTCCAGCTAAGTATCGTTTCTTAATTTTCTCCCATTCAGTATTTGCCAATAATATTCATGGCTATACTGCTAAAAGATTATTTTAATAGAGCTCAGCTAAAACAGTTGAGGGGGAAAGCAGGGCCATTCCACCAGCCTTTACTGTTTTAATATTAAACAAATAGTAAGTATTTTAATTTATTTTAATATTTACTATTTTATTTTAATAGTAACATAATCAAGAAGCTCTTACCTAAGTCAGGGCTCAACTTTGAAACACATGAGGTAGATAGTAAAAGAGGATAGAGAGTGGGAGAGAGAGAAGAGGAGGAGGAGGAGGAGGTGGGGGGGATCACTCAGCATGTGCACAATGCTCTGCTCAAAAGGAACTGCTTTCCATCTTATGTGGTTCCTTTAAAAAAAGTCCCTGTGCTCAACCTATCAGCTTTACATTTACAAAGCAAGAGAGTATTTTCAAGGTCTAATAACAATTTTAGCCATTAACTAAACTGGATTCAGTGTTCCGGAATAATCATCTTTGGAATGGGACCAAAGTTGTATAGTAGAGCCTGTGCTTTACACAAAGATGGTCCCAGATATGTAAAACACTGCCAAACTTTTGTGTAAACAAAGCTGGCCTAGATGGATAAATTCTTATGGTCCAATTCCCCTTAAGAACACCAGAAGGTCTTGTATGATCGTTTCATCTGAGATTCTTTGCAAGAATCCCAGGAACCATGAATTTTTATCAGTGGTCCATCAAGGGATGATTGCATACCTTCTGCCCAGCCCTGTCCTATCCTCCATGCTCAATAGCTACAGCAAGCCTCCATACTTTTAATATTTTTAACAATAATACAGTGCAAAAGGCACAGCCTATTGGATGCAGAATTCAGCTTACTTGAGATATCAACTTTCAGCTGTTAAAATGTAAGCATAACTGAGGAAAAAAATCAGTGGAACTTAAGCTAATCACACTACCTTGCTGCATTATGCTGCAAGTTTCTAGCCCTCATTACTTTCCACAGAGGTCTGAAGGTGTTTAAGGTATGCCAGGTAGTATTTTATAATACAGAGGAATGATTGTATTAAGGTCTCACAAAAACCACCTGGCCCTACTCTTGACTAAAAAAAGAAGTTAAGCTAAATGATTTTTTAAAGAATGCAAGTTGGTTTAACATGCATAATTTATACAGGTCATAGAATTTAACTTTGTCTTTGTGTAGAAATATTGTAATTATCCCATGAATGCATTTATTTAATGTATTCATACATTTAAATAATACATTTAAGCCACAATCTAGCACAGAGTTGAATAAACACACCAACTAGAATCAATATGCTTAAACTCACTAACTCTGTTATTATAGAATGCATACAGACAGTCCTGGGTAAACCTTTCAAGTCAAAGATACTAGCATGGTCTAGCAAAAGGTAAGCATTTAGAGGCTGCAAAATTTACAGTAGTAAATTCTGGAAGCAAATATATTTCCAAATAAATATATTTCCAAATATATATATATATATATATATATATATTTGGAAATATAATGACCTGTATAAATTATGCATGCTAAACCAACTTGCAATAGGAGAATTACTCTCTCCCATGGAAATTGATGCGAATATGTTTTGCTCTTCAGGTTACATTTTCCTCTGCCTGATACATATCCAGATATGCCTTATTAAAAAGAAGAGTAGTATTTGTTTCAAATCATGCCTTTGAAGCATAGTAACTATTTACCTCCTCCTTGTGGGGCTTTGCCATAGTTACTGGAGAGTGGGCCATTGATGACACTTCCGTAATCACCTTTAAAATAGCGATTGAGAAGGATTTTCCTCAGGTTACTGCCCTTGAATAGAAAGATAAACATAATATGAAAAATCACCCTTTCAGTCAATAACCTTGTGGGTAAATTCATATTCTTATCCCTTTTCTTTTCAGAAGCCACAGGAAAATATATATATACGCTCTACCTTAATGGAGGACACATCTCTGTGTCACTGGGCAGCTGCAGGGCTCACTGCCAACAGGGGAAGGGGATGAGGAAGAGGAAGAGAAAGAGGAGGAGCTATTGCTGCTTGCCCTCTTTCTGCCCCTCCACCAAACTCAAATTTAGCCTATGGCTGGGGCAGTTCTTCCTTCTCCTCTTGTACACATGCAGGGGGCAGATGCAACATTTCAATGAATATATTTATGTGTACCTACCTTATGAACAGCTATGTGACTGTCATACTTAGTTTTGTGATCTATGTGAGCTGTGATATTTGGAGCCCATTATTTTACTCATGGAAACTGTGATTAAAATTCAAAACTAGCAAATGTGCACTGGCATGTTTTTGTCTGCATAAGTGTGTTTATACTCATATATTCATTTAAAATAGGTTTAAATATTAAACCATTAAAAATGGGGGACAAGGGTCTTATGAAGCAATTTGGACATACCCTCTGATACTTGCCATATATAGTATGAGGATCTGCAATTTGGGCAAGGGGATAGTTCCTTTGGAGATACACTGCTTTGGAGATAATTCTTGGATCCCAGTGGAAGCTAACTGGAATTCTGAGTTACACAAAATTCCAAGCAAGGCCATCCCAGCTCAGAATAATTAAATGAACAGATGATCTACCATAAGCTCCTATTCTAAGCCAAAGATGATGATGATTCATCTGTGCTGGAATGTTCACATGACCACAGGGTGTGTCAGACAGGGGTGCATCAAATGGACTTGCTGAGAAAAAGCCCCATCATATGCAACGGTAAATCATTCCCAGGGGAAACACCCACCCCAGCAGTTCCATGAAATCATCATTCCTGTTATGACTCCCTACTTTTTCTGAGGAACAGCTTCTGCTATTAAATTTAGCACACTAGCACAATGGAATTTCAGATGTACCATAATTATTAATGAATTACAGAAAATACGGGTATCATCTAAAAGTCTGAAAGCCTATTGCAAGCCCTGAAAGATTATTTCCACTATGTCATATATCACATTGTAGGTAGGACTTATAGCAACTGAATGTCAAATTATGATCACCATGCACATAAATGGCATAATTTGAAAACATTCCACCATCAGTCCAAAGGAACATGTGTCATACTGCTGGGGCACCATAAGCTTGCTCCAGGTTTTTGAAGACTCTCAGGAAAGGCATGCTCCATGGGACCTTTGCCTGAGTGAGCCCACCTTTTCACTGCCATTGTCACCAGCAGCTATGGCTCCCCATTCCCCTTCACATCACTGCTACCACCAGCTTGCTTGACTGACAGCGCAAACTGGAAGAACTATCTATTGTACCACCTTCTCTCCACTGCCATTGTCTGAGCCAAGGCCAGAAGCAGGTGAACAAGCCGGCTGCAATGGCAAAGAGGAAGAGCGAGTCCAGGAGGCTCTTATCAATGGGTCTCTCTTGGGGTTCAGACTCTTGACAAGTTCCTAACCATACCTATCTCTGAAGCTGGCTCTGCCATGAACAGAGCCTTTTCATAAACATCATCTCCCATTGTTTGGCTGTTTGGCAATGAAAAATCTAGCATCTCCTGTAATTCCTCCTCCAAATAAGAGTGCTAAAAGTAAAGGTCATTTTTGCTTGTTGGTCCCCATCCAGTTGTGGACTACACAAGCATGCAGTTCCCCTAGCAGTTTGAGATGTGACTAACCATCAACAACAGTATACAAAATATCACAGAACTTCATGATCAGGGACACTTAGAAATTCTTCCTTAAAGTACCACACTAACTTAGAACTGACCTGGACTCAAAATGCCAATATCAAGATACACTTGATATTGTACACTTTTGGCTGAATTAAACTTTCCTCCTTATCCCCTGTGAAATAGGGTATTGGGGCAAAATAGATTGTAGATTGACATTGTCTGTATTATACTTTAATACTGTATTATGCTACACTACAGCTTTTTTGTCCCACAGACAGCAATATTCTAAGCCCCCAACAACTTAGTATTTGTAGACTTGGGGAAGTCAAAGATATTTTTTATGTTCTTTTAATGCCCATTTTTAATCACTTTCAGGGATGAGGCCATCTCCCTCAACTTTTAGCAAGAAAACCATATAGCAGCCCTGCTGAAAAGAAAGCAATTAATACTCATATTTTACAGGGAAAACCCTGAGGCTAAGAGATAAGTGATTAGCACAAAAGCAGCCAGAACAGAATGGTGAGGGGGTTTTTCAAACTTATAATTTTACTTGCTATTGTTCAACTACTGGGAGTCAGAAACCCTTGCCAATCTATTGTAAATCAGCTAGCGATTTACCAGAAGTTTCCAATCTTCTATCCCTCCCTGTTTCAATTTAAGGGAAATCTGTCCACAACAATCAATCTTCCCAGGAAAGTGCACATCTGCCATGGAACTGCTTCACTGTACAGATAATTCCGTGGAATGTGTTCTCAGCTGCATGTTTCATGAGGGCTACTGGGCAGGCCTTGGTAGCTTCGTGCAAGAACAGGCACTGCACCCCAGAACATTCCCACTACATCTGTTGCATGCTTTAAAATGACACTGGTTGTAGTGGGCGATCATGGAAGCTTGACATCATGACTAAACTTTTCATTAAAGAACATCTGAGAAGGTTCTAAGAAACTCCAGAGTTCCCTGCACACAAGCTGAAAGCCAGTAAGCTATGGTTAAACACATTAATGACAATATTAAGCGAAAGCAAGCATGCGCTGTGGCAAGATGTTCATCTGAATACTTTTTTCACATTTAAGTACATAAACTCTCCCCACCCAATAGTCACAGTGGATGGAATGACTTCTATAGCTCTTAACTGCATATGAGTTGTATGGAAAGAAATAGCGCCTCAGCTGACTCTCAGTTCTTATGTAATGACAGTAGAAGACATAGTATGGCTTTGAAAAGACAGCATAACAGTTCTATTGTTACCATTAATACCATTCTTTAGTCCTTAACAATAGTTAGAAGGGGATAAGAACAAAGGTCCAGGGAAACAACAGTAATTTATGAGCATTCTAAATAAGATCTGATTGATCCAACGAGACTAATATTTCTAAATGAAAAATAAGCATTCTGGTTAAAACAAGGAAGTGTAAACAAAACTGGATTTCTTTCATCGTTACATTATTCTAGCTGCTTGGAGGGGGTGGGAGATGCACTTCCCAGTCCAGTAAGCACACATTCCTCACAAGTCTATGTGTTTGTCTGAGAGAAGATGAGAGAATGAGAGAGCAATCTCAGGTAAGGTTTACAAAAACTTACAATTTGTTTGCACCCCAAAAGAAGAATCAAATCATGAAAAAAGAATACAAAAGAGGATAGCAATTTGTATATAATTTGCATATACAGTCACATTTAGTATGTAGTCAAATTTAGAAATAATTGTTAAGTTTTATCAAAAGAGTACATTTCCTCCGAGTGGCAAAGATTGTGACCAAGTGTCTTCTATGACTGCTCAGACTGATGTCTAGGTACTGTTGATGGACAGCATCAAGATGCATCTCTTCTGATGCTTCATCTTTAAGCCAGACCTAGTCTGGACAGCCCTTCAAACAGAAGATGCCTTCAAAACAGAAAGCAACCCTCAAACAGAGGACTGTCCACTGTAAAAAAGGACACAGGGCCACTGTAATTTGCAGGACTATTTCACCTACAGTAGCAAGATGCTCTTAAAACCCTAAGACAGAAATGAACATTGTCGCAACAATATGTTTCCTCTCCCACAATTCCTATGAAATCTGAGCATGTGTGAATGCAGTCGTATACATGTCTTCTTCTATTCTTGCTGCTCCCTATCAAGGACCATGTGGCTTGGGTAACAGTCTGAAGCTGGAATGGAGCATGGTGAGAGATCATGTAGGGTTTTTGCTGAACCCTTTTTGGCAGGCTCTTGCTATACATAAGAAGGAGCCTGGCTTTCTGACAGTCCCTGCTATACTTAGGCCTCTAGCTTCTAGTTATTCGACATCTTTCCAGCTTAGATTTGGACAGAGCTGGCCATAGTCTGATTGAGTTGCTCTCTTCCCTTCTCTTCCTCTATTCTCTCCCCCAAATGCCAAAACTTTTAATTGTTGACTCTATTAGATAAGAGTATGTCCCTTTTAAATTTTGTTCTGTTACAAGCCATGCACATTGATAAAATGATAAATTATGTTGCATATAGTTCCAGCCCCAAACAGATGGACGAAGTCACACACAGAACAGCACAGAGTGTGCATCCAGCCCACCTCTGTTGGAGATAGGTTTTGCCTAAATAGCAGTGCCGCCCACCCACGTGTGCTTACAGCTATCATACACAAGTTCAAAAATACACACAAGATTTTCCAGCAGCTTTTTGTGCAGAAATGGGCCACCCACACAACTCAGCTGTTTCTCATTAAATAGGGATGCCCCAAGCTGCAAACCCACAGATGTTCCACTCCCCTACAAGTATGATGCTACTCCCACTTGTATTTCCAATGCTCAGAAATGCTCCATGAAAAGCCTAGGTTTACTGAGAAAGTATGAAGCAAATTGCTTGTTGTAAAAAACAACAACATCCAAACAGATCTGATCCTTTCTCTCCAATTCTCAATATACCCTTTAAAAACATTTTTAAACAAATCTTTCATTTTATCTTGGCTTATAAAACTGAAAACTGCTTTTACAGATAGTGTGTTGGTACTGCATCTTCATTGACATATGAACAAGAGAAAAGCCCTGCTGGATCAAACCCTGAGACCATCTAGTTCAGGGTAGGGAATGTCTGTCAGTCTAAGGGCCAAACTCAATTTCAGAGAAACTCTCAGGAGCTGCCTTCAGGTGATGAGTGAGGCTGAAGATAAAGTAGGTGAGAAAAGGTAAAGGGGAGGGGCAAAAATACCATAATTTTG